CTTTAAATGACCAAGGTGGACATTTCCAATGCTTACCTCCACATTTCTGTGGCAGAGTATTTGCATTAAAATTTTCAATTGTTCATCAGGGGGTTGTGTACCAGTTTCTCACCTTATCCTTTGGCCTAGCCTCAGCACCATATATTGTTGTGTGGTCCACTCCTTTGCTTGGGATATTCATGCCATGGGGTTGCACTTCCATGTGTATATGGATAACTGGCCTTTTCTTGCTCATTCCAAATAAGAATTGGCCTGTCACACTCATCAGCTACTGGCTGAAACTGTGGAGGTGGGCTGGTTGGTCAAATTGGAGAAGTCTTTTTTTCATCCTACCCAATACCTTTTCAATTTGGGTGTTTTCTTCAACATCCATCTCAGTCGATCCCAACCTTCTCCTCTCCTGCTCCATCCTATGGAAAAGGCTGATCAGAAAGCCCTATCTGTTCCCTCACTTACAGCTCGTGAGGTTCTATTGCTTTATAGGATGTAGTCCTCCATGTCCCCTCTCATACCCCTGGGCAATGCCAATATGTGGTTTCTTCAATGGGTCCTTCACAATCAATGGAAACTCACCTGGGATCACTTGGAGACTTTTATATCCCTTCTCTCATTCCTTGTAGTTGATCTCCATTTGTGGTTAAACAGAGTACACACATCGGTGGGGGTCCCGCTTCCTCCTCCATGCCCAGATTTACACTGTTCATGGATGCATCCCTTCATGGTTGGGGTGCTTGGATAGATCACCAGGAGGTTTTAGGTTGCTGGTCTGTAGAGGAGAGTTCTCTTCACATTAGTATTTTCAAACTTCTGGCTGTTCATTGGGCTTTGGATCATTTTCTTTCTCTTGCCAAATGCCAGCTGGTTATGAAACATTCTGACAATTCTACCATGGTGGCTTATATCAATCACCAAGGTGGCACCAGATCCATATTCCTGTATTTTTGCATGATGGATTTTCTTTATTGGGCCCACACACATTGAATTTGTTTGATGGTGTATCATGTACCAAGTGCTTTCAATCTCGTAGCCAATCGTATTTCCCGACCAGATTGTGTTTATCCCACAGAGTGGTCCCTGCATCCTGCCATTTTTTGGTGGCTCTGTCTGTCTGCATTTGAGTACACCCCATATTGATGCCTTTGCCACCACCTTCAATCACAAATTACCTTAGTTTTGGTTCCCAGTTCCCCATCCTCGAGCCTTGGCTGTTGATGCCTTGAGCCAGTATTGGTCTCATCTGTTCCTTTATGTTACCCTCCCATCTGTTTACTTCATTGGGTGGTCTCCCTCATCCATGCCACTATGTGCACAGTCCTTCTGATTGCACTTTACTGGCCTGCTCAACCTTGGTTGCTCCAACTGCAGGTGGTCCCTCTCTCTTCTTCTTCCCACTTGACCTACTTTGTCAACCCAAGCCACTGGAGCTCCATCCCATGCCATCTGTCTTTTGTCAGGTTTTTTGCAAGGGATTCCGATTTCTTTCACAGAGTAGCTTTACATTTAGCCTGTTCCATCCGCCCTTCTTCTTCTTTGGCCATCCATCAATGTGAGTAGAGCTTTTATTGCTTCTGGGCATTGACTTGGGGTTTCCAAGCTTCTCATTCAATGGTTACCTGTATCTCTGTTTCTCATGTGGCTCATTGAGAGGGTTTCATTGGTTTTCCTTGATTTTGGGGTTTTGGGTGGTGTTATCCCATACCTTCTGTTTTTCCTGTTTCCATGGGGTCTTTGCTTCTGCTGTCTTTTCCATGTTGATCTGTTCCTTCCAGCTCCATTGGCCACCAAGGCATCTATCGCTTCTGGACTGAAACATTAACATGGTCCTTCATGCCCTCACTTCACCTCCATTCGAACATCTGTCTATGGGTTCCCTATTTCACCTCTCTTTGAAAGCACATTTTCTCCTCCTTTTGGCCTGCGGGCATCGTATGTTGGAAATTTTTACCCTCAACATTACCAGATCTTGTACCATTCCGCTTACCTTATCTTTTATCATGATCATGGTTTCCTTCCTAAGACCTCTGCAGCTTGAGAAGGTCAGTCCTCCTTTTCCCATATATGTCTATCCTCTATATCTCATCTCTACCCTCATCCTGATCCGGATAGACTCCTCTGTCCTGTTCATGCCCTTCATTGTTATATTGCTCACACGGCTTCCTTCCAGGGCTCTTGTTCTCGCCTTTTTATCCCTTGGCAATCTTCCTCTTCTCATAATCTTTCCCCAGTTACCCTGATCAATGGGGATCAGTGTTTGATCCAGTTAGCCTATTCTTCCTTCAGATCTCTTTCATGTTTCCTCACATCAAACTCATCACCTTACCTTCTCCCTTGCCAATGGCCGACTTCTTCAGCCGTTGGAGTAGATTTTACGATTAGGCATATGGGCGACTCCGCATATGTTCATCTCCCACTAAGGTAAATATTTACTAATGCTTTTTTTTCTTCCTGGGGCCCCTGCTTCAGCTTCACTTTGGATCCTGCTCTGAAGCAAATGGTGCCTGATCAGGTATTCTGCCTGTACTCAGAATGGGTTTCAGTTAGATGGCTATAACCATTTGCAGACATCTTGCTATCAAATCAGCACTGTAAGCCATGTTAATTCTTATACATTTTCCATGGCTATGTATGTTCACCCTTGAGATAAGATGTTTCCCAAGATCACTAGAGTGTAAATTCCTCATGATAATTCCATCATAATATGCCTGTCCAGGACCATACCACCCATGGAAGGCATGAGTAAAACAGAATGGGATTGCTGCCCATCCTTGCCATGCCTAGATTGAATAAATCAGTGTGGTCTGCTTTTAAAAATAAGGTTTCATGACCACCCATTGCACTGTCTCGGGTGTTGCAGTCCCTCTGGACTCTCTGCCACACTTTTTCCCCTTTTCTTCCAGTGGAGTATGGGAATCCTTACCACTTACCAGTTCCAAGCTGCAGGGATGTTTGACCATGGAGGCAACCTACTAGATGGGTTCCACAAAGATGGCTATAACCCTTCAGTTCAGAATAGGGTGGTGGTATTCTGCAGGTGTACAGGGAGTTACAAGATCTTCTGAATGAGTAACTAATCCCTGGAGTTGAGACACCCAAATGTAGTTCACCCATCTGATTGGGTGCCCTCCTCCTACCCTCGTGTGGATGTCAGTACCCAGCGAGTTGGGTTTTGGAGATCAAGTGAACCAATCACATAAGCTCTCACTTATGATTTGGGTTGTCCATCTTCCCTTCTCAACTTCTCTACTGTGTTGTGGGTTGTAGAAGGTCTATGTGGCCTGTTTTCACTTCTGTCCCTGGTTTTCCTTCATTTGGTGACGAGGTTGTTCCTGACCTGGGGTCATTTTGGGCTAGTTTCAAGGTCGCAAGGGTGAAGTGCATGCGATGGACTTCCCTTGGATTCTGAATGACACATTCCTAGATCTCTGGCATTAAGCTTCCCTGTGAGTTCCATGAGTCGAATGTTAGGTTCCCTCTTCACTTGAGGATTTATGGTAAAGATGGTATGATCCTTATCCTACCTTAGGTAGTGAGTTTTGGATGTAGTTGACTTTCTGAGTATGGTCCATCATGCCCTAGCCACTCTACACCATGGGACACATCCTCACTTACCCACTTTCCATCGGGATTGAGTGATTCTAATTTCTGTTTAAGATCATATTGTTAAACTATCCTCTCTCATGTGCTCCCTTCATGTTCTGTCATGTCTGGTTCTTCTAATTATGTTGATGTTCCTAGTGAAGAGATACTTGGCTCAGATGTGGTTCAGTGCCCCTCTTCAGATTATCTGATCTGTTCCTCTCATTTCGGGGATGTCCTCCAGATGCTTCCGGGAGATACACCTGTGCTTCCCTCACACTGGTACCTCCTCCATTTCAATGTGGGATTCAAGCTAATCTTGTGAGATATCACACAGAGTACCTTTTCAAAGTTATAATTTTCCTAAATGAAAATGTATTTCTGATAGGTACTTCCCTTCATTCACACTTCTCACCTGTAGTGGTGTGTCACATGTGTCATGTGGTAGTAGTGCTCTCCTATTGGTGTTTACATAAGAGACATGTTGGAACTTTAGATTCCAACAAAGAGATGATGAAGGCTTGTGGCATGTGTTTCTGAAAAAGTTCACATACAGAGGGCAGCACAAAATGAGAAAAGCTAATCTTGTGAGAGGAGGGAAGTACCTATTGGAAATACATTTTTATTTAGGAAAATTATAATTTTTCAGATACATTGTAACTTTATATCAACATTTTAATCAAAAAGAAATAAAAAAAAAACATTCACAGTATGTGTCATTGTTTAATGATTTACATGTACAGAAAATTTTTTTTATATGTGTAGATGTCTGTGCTTTAGTTGAATTCATAAATGATGTATGATGCAATATATTAATTAAGCTTAACATAAGATTGTATAGGTGAAAGTGCCATTAAAATTTGTGTGTGATATGCCTATGATATTCCTATGTCTGATCAAATAACTTTATTTTATACTTTGTTATTGGTTTCTTACAAAATACATTCATCTTGTAAATGAAATATATTGTAAAAGGTACAGTAATTGTTTTATTATTTTGAGTTTTATGGAATGTTTAAATGTTAAAGCAGAGACCAGTTGAAGAATTAACTACATAGTTATTTTGTTAATTCTAATGTGTAAAGAATATTATTGTTATTCATATATTAGTTTAACTGGATTAGAGTAAAGAAAACACTACAACTGGTATGTCTTAAGCTTTCTGCACTTTATAATATTTAGATAGGAACACTTGTTTTGTATTTATGCTTTTTACTTTTAAATATTGTTAAAAGCATTTACTAATGTTTGTTTCATCTTGGAAATTTTTCTGTTGGAGAAATTTATGAAAGTTGCTGTTTGGTTATTTAATCTTTATAATATATGATTTCAGTAATAAACTAAATAACTGAACATGCATATTTATGTATAGAATATAATAACAATATTTCACAGTTCATAATGTTGTCTTCTTCCTTTCATAGGAAAATTTATATTGATCACAACCAGTAAAGTTTGGATTAAGGAGAACTATTTATTTACATCACTTATGCTCAGCCAAGATGTATATGTAATAAATTATAACAATTTGGATGACATGAAAAATGCACTTATAGAGAGTAATCATCTCAGTAAAAGTCCAGATGCTCCGTCTTCCTGTCCAAATTGTTTATCTTCTATTGACAACCAGCTTCAAGATATTATTTCTTCTGTTGACAGTGGTAAGGTTGTTCACAAATGAAAACTAGTATCAGTACACTGTATTGTTTTTTATATTGTTCCTTAATAAAAAAAATCAGCATTTTTGTTTTGTTAGTACTTCTTGTTTGTGGCGAGAAACTGAATGTTTATAAGAAAAAAATTTGCATTGTCTTTTGATGTATTTACATCAGTACTTTTTTGTATGAAGGTCTCTTGGTGGTCAGAAACCAAGCATGTTTATTAGAATTTTGCATTTCAGCTCTGGCAAAACTGATTTACAGAAAATTGTGTTTCATGAATTCATATTTCTTTATATATATACTTGGTAGCAAAAAAAACTATAGTTTTTCCCAAATATTGTTTTTTGATTTTGTCATTGTTCAATTTTGTGTCATTCTTTAGATATAGAATATTGGAATGACATGAATTTCAATCTGTGGCAGTCCTAATAGAAATTAATGCAGCTAGTTATAGTTGTTTGGTTTTTGCTGTTACATTTCTGTACCATGTTATTTAAGTATACATCTAACCAATCAAAAGATGTTAGTGTGTATTTGGAATTAACCCTTTCACTGTGGCTTGGATGTATAGTATCCTACCAAAAGTCATGGGACACACCTCTGATTGCAGGAAAATGGGTGTGAAGTATGCAAATAGTTTGGCTTATAAAGGTGATCAGCAGTTTGCTCAGAGGTCATTTCGAACTTGTACACAGAAATATGGATACATAGAAAGAGCTAACAGAATTTCAGAGGGGGGAAGGATAGTTGGATGTCATTTGGGAAAAATGTCTGTATGTGCTATTGTGCAACAATTAAACATTCCCAGGTCGACATTTGGCAATGTGCTGAAGAAATGGAAGTCCACATGTGACATTGAGCCCAAGAAACGACCAGGTAGGCATAAAATACTGACTGACAGGAGGTGATGCACCTTGAAAAGGCTGGTTACCTTATCTTGCTGTCAGACCCTAGAGAATCTGTGTTTGGAGATGAGAGCAGCCACAGGCAACCTGATAAATATTTCCACAACATGTTGTGCATGCCATGAATTTTAATGGAAGAGCTGCAGCCCACGTGCTGTTGATGACAAAAACAAATGCACACCTTCAATTGGCATGGGGTAAGGCACACCAAACCTAGACCATGGATCAATGGAAATCGCTCCTGTGGAACAACAAGTCACTCTACACGCTCTTCCAGTCTGATGGACATGTTTGGGTATGGAGGATGCCTGGAGAATGCTTATTACCTGAGTGTGTTGTCCCAACAGTAAAGTTTGTAGGTGGTAGTATCATGGTCTGGGGGTGTTTCTCCTGGTATGGACTAGGTCCACTGGTCGCATTGCATGGATTCATGAATGCTTAGTTCTACATTGATGTTCTGAACAATTCTGTGTGTTCTACATTGTGACAATATCATGGAACCAAATCTTACACCTTCCAACATGATAATGCTCCATGTCACAATACCACCAGTTTTCTACCAGAAATTAATAGACAGTCTTCCATGATGCATTGAAGCAGTCATTAAGGCCAAAAGCAGGTCAATACACTATTACTTTCTTGGAATAAAGACATGCTTTATACAAAACTACCTGTGTCGTGTGACTTTTAGTAGGATAGTGTATATTTTACACTGCCCTGGGAAATATACATCCCAGCTGTAATGAATGCATCAAGTGATTAAACCTCTGTAAACAATATAATGATATCTGACTCATAGACAAAGTACTTCAATTTGTCCAAAGTACTATTTATTTAAATTCATTACACCATTAATCAGGCAAAAGTAGTTGGTGTTGCTTTGAACCATATTTTATTGAATTATTAGACAAGGCATTTGCAAGAAATAATATTTGTTATATATAGTTTTGTTTAAGTTTTCCACAAATGAGCTATTCATGCTATCCGTCACCTCTTACCAAAATTCCACTACATGGTAATATAATTTGGTATGAAAATTAGAGACGCTAATAATGATCATATAATCACTTATCAGTTGTTTTTCACATTCTCTGCTAAACAAATTAAAGTAAATTTTATATTAAATTTCATAGTTTTGTATTTTTGGAGTTTGATGTAATTTATTGATCATTTTTCAGTTTTAAAAATTGAAATCCAGAGAAATCCAACTGAAGGTAAGAATTTGTTTTTAATATTTACAGTTAACAGTGTAAATAACGAAAAAAAGTATAGGTCATTTTCACTTCTTATTTTATTGTTTTGGATATGTGAAAGTCCAATAAAAGGAAATAAAATGTTATGAGATAGACACAGCCAAGGCTTAACTGTCTCAATACTTGGAATCTTATTTTATATTTAAAAAACAAATATTTTATCACAATCTTGAAATGCCGAGAGATTTACTATATATATATATATATATATATCAATGAATATTATGCGCTTTTTACTTTTAATGTTCACAAAGCTATTTCATTTGCTAAAAACATTTGGCCTATGACAAAATTATATTTCAAAGTTAGTAGTTTCCACTGGCCCTTTTTGAAGATTAATATATGTTTTTGTGTTATATCTTCTTTGATATAAAAGGTTTTCTTGGATTTTATCAGTATATGTAATTAAAAATCTGAGATTAAAAAAAACAAAACAGAAAAGTGTGTTCTTTTGTCTTGTATTGTTTTAATAAAAAAATACATCTGTAAAAACACCTGTACATATAAGGGAAGTAAAAAGTTTTTAATTTTGCATGTTCTTTGTAGTCAATAAATAATGAATAATTTATTTGAAAGTAACAGTTCTTTGTTGAAAGTTTTATATTTGACTTTGTTATTGTATCAAGTTTTTAACAGGATATTCAGTTTATGTTTTAAGGTGATTGGTGAATGAAATAAAAATGTAACTCGCTGCAAATCTATAGGTATATACATTTCTATGTTTCTTGTGTTGCTGGCTTGATATCCTTGGGTAATGTGAGTATTGGTGAAGATCTCAATAACATAAAATACAGCAAAACAATCTGCATTACTGAGAAGTTTGTAAACTAAAGTAGATTTCAAATATTCTTTAATTTCCAATAGATCCAGCTTATTCAGATTTTTAAAAGGTCTGAAGGTTTCCCATGCAGATTTAATTAGTGTGATTTTAGTTTTGAATATGTTCAGACTCTGACTGTTAATTTCATATTAGTCTTTGATTATGTCTCACCTTGATTTTTTTGTGTTTTTTTTTTACATTTTGAGAGAACAACTTAAAAACTTGCAGTTTAACAAACCTGCAAAGTCTATCATATTTTTATTGATTTTATTTACATTACAGATTGCAATATTATAACGTCTGTTTTTTAATTCAAAACAGTTCTTCTTCCTTTGAAATACAGATCATTGTTTAGCTAAAATTAATGTTGTTATTGCTGTGAACTGACTTATTTATCACTGTTTAACTATTGCACAAAAAACATTTTGAATGCTAGGAACATGGCAATTTTAAATTTTATGTTAAATTAGAAAAATAACATGTATTCTGTGAAATGGTTCAATAATATATTACTGTCAACAAAAGTGAAAATGGAAATAATAAATAAAAGCAAGATTAGAATAATCTGAACCAAATTTATAGAAATAATGAGCTTCTTAAGTATCTGTATAGATTTCTTGCATATAGTACTGATTTTTAAACAATCAACATATTGTTATTTTCTCCTTACATGGGATATATCCTCCCCTCATTTGAGTAAAATAATCTGAAACTTAATGTATAAAATAAATTACTTATCCTTCAACAAAAGAGGTAGCTGTAACTTATGATTACTTTCAAATTACTGATTAAGGTAATTTGAATCATGAGAAAGTAGTTGCAATAACTGGATGATTTCTGTAAATTTATAGATAAAGAAAAACTTTCTGGTTCCTTTGTTGTTATTGACAAGTACACGAGACTCCAAGATGATTATGGATATCCTGTTATCTTCAGTGCTAAGAGAGACTGCTATTGCGACAATCTTACACCTGGTATGATGTTAATGTACTTGTTTGAGTTATTAAAATAGACTTACTAGCAAATGCTAGTGAATTAACCCTTTAGCTTAGTTTTTAGAGTACTCACCTGGTGTATGAAAGGTCTTGGATTGCAGTCTGAGGTGAAGAAAGATATAATGTAAAAATTAGTTAACATAGTATCTAGTGACTCATTCCAGCTGTTTCTTTTGATACTTAGCTCTGATTAATTAATATCTTGTATTTTGTACAACAAAAACATAACTTATAACTTTAGGGTAGTTTGAGTTGTTGAAAACTGTCCTGCTAGTAATTACTAGGCTTTGACTCATTAGCTTAATTATTATATCACTCATCTGGTGTGCAAGAGGCCTAAGATTTAAATCTAAGCTAAGAAAAGGAGAATGGAATTGCTGTGGAAATTAACACAAGATAAAATGGAAATTTGGCAAAATGATCATAAAATCAGTTAAACTTGCCAAGTTATATCTGCAAATATAAAGTATGTTAGATCCATTACAGTGAAAATGTTTTCCTAGTAAGTGTTTATTTTTGAAGTGAACTCTGGAAGCTGCTACTCAGGAACAAGGTCAAGGCTGCCAAGTGTGACATGCAGCTTAGGAAGTTTCTTGTCTGTTTGAATGCATTTTTCCACACTTTTACATTTGTAGATGTTACCAGTTGGATGTTTTTGCTTGGAAAACAACTTTTTCTGTTTATGTGGTCTTGTCTTATTTTGGATATTGTTGGCCATTCAGTGCTTTGTTTTTACTACATGAGCTTTTCCTGAATGATAGTTTGTTACAAAGCGATTATTAAAAGTCCTTTCCATGATTATCCAGTAGAGCTTGGTCTTTGAGGTCAGGTGCATTAATCACTTGATGAGTGAGTGTGGGATATATTCATGTCATAACTGCTTGTTATGCTAAAAATCTCTATCTTAACAGCTAGCTTGAACTGTAGGCTTTTAGTAGTACTATGTATATAATATCATATACATATTACTGTAAAATCTAATGCTTTGCCAGCTAAGGCATTTTACACTGAAAAATGGTGGGTGTTTGTCAGGATTATATTACTCTTTCATAATCAGCCAATGTTGGTCTATGTTAGAAGTGTCACATATTCAGTCCAAATGCCTCAAGTTATACTTTGAATCTTAAATATGTATAATAATAGTTGAAAGCTTAAACTTAAATTTTCATGAATATATTAGAAAATGTCATGGTATTTATTACTGTACTCTTTTATTTATCTTTTGTAAATATACCATTATTACAGGGTATAGTGATGGTTTTTAATTGCTGTCAGTTGTAACTTTTAAATTTTTAAATATTTCTAGGCACTTTTCTTCTGTTTGCTGGAAATGATGCTTGGACAGAAATGAATTTCAAAATGCAGATGACAGACCAAGTGTACATTGTAGCTTACAGCAGTACAAATGAACATGAGGTTCAAGAAAAGCTGGGGTCAGTCAATGATAATCACAATCAAAGAATAGCACCAAATTTATATATGGATTGTTCTTCAAAGCCTTTTATCTGTCCAAAATGCCAATCTAGCATAGACTATCATTTGGGGAAGATAATTTGTGCCTTCGATATCAGTAAGTTCAATATACTATGGTATGTCTGGTATTATATCATTTTAATTCTTTATTCTAGATGCAGTAATCATTTTGTTTCTTTGTTTTGAGATGTTGCATTGGTGATTTAGTTGTTTGGAATTAATTTATTTTAATAATTGTTTAGTTTTCCATTATGTATTAGATTTATTATCACATGGATGAATTGTTTCAGCTCTTAATAATTGCTTCAAAAAAAAAAAAGCTAAACATTTTTGTACAACTGCATCTATTTCACAATATTTTCAAAGTATTATATTTTCTTTAATTTTGTCATCCATCCACAAAATAAATCAGACACTGCCTTGAAACATCTCAAAATTAATAAATATATTTTTTTAGATAATTGAAACATTATTTGTCCAACTTGTAATGGTTTTATAGAAACAACTTCCTAGTTTGTTTATTTTTATAGTAAAGAATCAACTGTATAATTAATATAGCAATGAATAGAACTTTATTTTACATATTTTTTGGCAATGATTTTTAACGATAAACCCTATTTTTTCAAACTTGATTATTTATTTAAAACTACAGAAATAACTGTTTTCATAAACAATTATAAAATAATTAAAGCTGAAGAAATCTCTTTACTACCACTATATTTTTTGCTGTTTCAAATGCTTAAACATATTGTATGTGGTCATATCTGTTCACATACTAAAGTCACAAAAGAAGCACATTTACTCTCAAGGTATCAGTAGAACTTAATAGGAAAACTAAATTTTATAATAATTTATCATTACTTGAAAATGAACAAATTATAGCTGGGCAAATAGTGTTGTTTGGTAACTGATTAATTGATGGCCCTTTTAAGCAGTTTTATTTGATTAATTGATAGGTACAGTGTTTCTAAAACCATGGTGCATATAAGCAAAGAAAAAAAAGTTACCATCAGATACTACCAGTCAGCTTCCTCTTTTCTAGTCAGCAGTTCAAAATTATTGATGGTGGCAGGTAACCTTAGTACCTTTCTCATAACAAAGACAGGGCAAGCAAGGTTGGTAATAATGGGAATTAAACCCCAAACCTCATATCACTTCCAAATCATCAAACTAAGCAAATATGAAGTAAAAAAAACTTTTAAAGCTAAAATTGGACAGTACATAGATAGCCATCATGTAGCTTTGTGCTTAACGACAAATATATTAACAATATTTTGATTACATGGATAGTTGGGATGACTTTCCACACAAGTTTGGTTGAATCAACCAAGTTTGTAACCATTTTATACTTGTTACAATTTACATACTTTTACTTAACTCTCTCAACAAGGGCTTGGTCAATTTGACTGACCACGTGACCTTTTTTTTTTACTCGTTTAAAGTTTTTATAGATTTAATACTTCTAACTTTCAATATAGTGTGTATATCTTCATGAAATTTGGCAGTCTTTTAATCAAAATAGCCCATGTGCAAAGTGATTTTCATGTTAAGATTTAAAATACTTTTCTTCATCTCAAAAATCTCAAATTTCCTTTGTATAATCCCTAAAACAATAACACTATATATTTTATCTGTTATTTTATCTACTCTATCTCTATATGGGATTGGTCAATTTGACAGACCTCATAACGACAAAAGAAAAATCATAATAAATCTTAATTACCTCTTTTTTCTTACTAGAATGACTTCAAATTGTAACATTTAACTATGTTCATTTATCCTAACTAGCTTTAAGCTAGTAACAGTATACATCTATTTATAATTAAATTATATTTGTTTATTGCTCTTTGAACCATGTCTAACTACTTTCCACACCATTATAAGTTGTAAATCACTCAGGGAACATGCACCTTACATTACGCAATAAAATTATATTACACACAAGCTGCTCACTTTTGTGCCTTTTGAAACATTTTTATTATATTATTATTATTTATTTTATCTAATCTAACCTTATCTAACCTAAAAAAATCCCTTTGTTTACATTTTAGTTACTTTTATAATAATAGATAAAGAATAAACATGAAAAACAAGAAATATAGTACTTACCCAATCTTCTTTTTTCTTGCTGTAGATTGTCAATGACACTTAACCCTCTTTTTTTATACTAATGGTAGTAATGCACTAAATAATTTTTATTTAATTAAATAATGCACCAAAGAACATAGACTGATAGCATGCCAAAAGTAGACAACTTCCCCTAACTCTCAAAAAATTTCTAGCTTTTTAACTATGTGACAAGAGCCATTACAAATTCATCCAAGATGATCATTGCTGTTCCCACAGGAATGAAACCTGTACTACAAGTGAAACTGATGCTTATCTATTCAAAACACAGCATTAGACAATACATCTTTTGATAGACGAAAACATTGGCTTTCTATTGGTTATAGGTAATATATGATTAAATGTAAGAGAGAACTATTAACATATCCTGAATGAGTGGGTGTGGCAGGAGGGGGTATGATTTTCTATTCAATAGCTCTGTAACCAAATAAATTGAAGGCTATTAAAATTATGGTTTGTCTGAGCAATGGTGCTTTTACAGTGTGTAATTTACATTTAATTTTGTAGTTACTGGAAGGGTGGTGAATAAAATAGAGAAGAGGGGATGCCTAGAGAAAATGTCACATTTCTCACATTAGGGGAAATTCAAGATGTTTTATAATATTGTCTTGTAGAATTAGGAACTTAAAAATTATATGCTATTAAAATATGGATTAATAGCTATGATTTTATGCTATACGAATTGGTATAACATAAACAAACAGTAGTTTAAATTTAAGTTTCGAATGTAAGACACTAAAACCTTATGTCATACGCAGTAAAGGATACCTGTGGCAAAAGTGTTAATATAGTTGTTATACTTTCACAAAATTTTGCAGACTTTCAGTAAACATGGCAAGACTTTTGTACACAAAAAAATAGATTTTTTAATTGAGTGTTTCTAATAAAGATTTGTCTATGAATATATTGAGTAGTTTTGTTTACTAATCTGAGTGGAAAGTAATTTTCATGTTAAGATTAAACATACTTTTATTCATCTGAAAATTTTCACATTTCATTTGTGTAATCTCTAAAACATCCTAAATAATTCTAAAATGCTATTGTTCAGTAAAATTTTATATTTTGTTTATTAACTCTATATACAAGAAAAAAAGTTCAAAATAAGTCTAAATTACCCTATTTTCTTTCTAGAATAACTTCAAAGTGTAACATGAAACTAAATTTGTTTAACCTGTGTAACTTTAAACTTGTGACAGTATACATCTGTTTATATTTAAATTTTATTGTTTTGAGCCATGTGTAAATTAATATTCCCACCATAAAATTTGAAAATCAATTGGTGAACATGGAGCATGTGTTCCTCCATCAAATTACATAATGCATGGGCTACTTGTGAACTGCTCATGAGCATGCCTCATGAAAAATTATTATTATTATTATTTATTTTACCTAATCTAACCTTATCTAACCTAAAAAGCTTCTAATTTTTACATTTTAGTTACTTTTATAATAATACACATGAAAAACTAGAAATAAAGTACTTATCTGAGTCTTTTTTTTTTTGGCTCGCAACTTTTATACTAATGGTATTACTGCACTAAATACCTTTTTATTTAATTAAATAATGCATCAAAGAACACAGAATAATAACATGCAAAAAGCAGACATTATCCCATTACTATCACAATTTTTCTGGCTTTCTAACTGTATGACAAGAGCTGTTAAAAATTCATCTAAGCTTGTTGATGTGTTTCCTGTGGGATTAAAGTTTGAACAGGAAGTGAAATAGACAATTCTCTCTACAGAAAACAACGTAATATAATATGTCATTTGATATATTAAAAGCTTGGCTTTTTATTGGTTCTAAATAATATGGTATTAAACATAAGAGAGAACTACTGGCAATTTCTTAAAGAGAGGATGTGAGAGGTGGGCATAGCAAAAGGGGTCTGATTTTCTATTTGATGGCTCTGTAACCAAATAAATTGAAGGCTATAAAAATTATGGTTTGCCTGAGTGATGACAACATTATAATGAGTAATTTACACTAAATTTCATACTTCTTGGAGGGGTGGTAAACAAATAAGAGAAGAGAAGATACCTAGAGAGCAAATGTGACAATTCTCATACAAGGGGAAATTGCAGATTTTTTTAAATATTGCCTTATAAAATTAAGTACTTAAAATGTATATAATTTTAAGATTTGGAATATTAGCTAAGTTTTTACACAAAGTTTATTTATATACCATGATAAGAAAGTAGTTTAATTATGCATATAATTTTAGTTGTCACTCTATTATAATTGTTGGATAAAAGCTTTCATCATTAATTTGTGTGATTAATTGTCCCCAAAGCAAGCTGTTCAAAAAATGTTGAAATATAAGTTTTATATGAACACATAATAAATAACTCATATAAAGTATCAAGAGATTGATAAAACTGAAAATATATAAAGTAGAGAATTTAACCTTTTTGTAGTGACTTTGTGATATTAAGTCTAATCTTTAACAACAATAAATGTTAAAAAATAATTTTCATATGAGCACATAATAAATAATTTGTATAAGGTGTAGAAAAAGCTGAAAATGTATAAAGGGAAATTAAACCTTTTTATACTGGCTCTGAGATTAGGACTAATCTTTCACAGCAATAAATATTATTGAATACCTAAATATCCTTTGTTTTCAATGAGGAGTATGATAAGAAAGACATGAAACAGTAAGGACTCTCTTTACTCTTTTTTTCACTTTGTTTCTTGAAATTATGAAAATCTCTTGTATGGCATGTCACATAAATAAAACTGTTATATTATTTCATTCAACGTATCACCAAAAGTTACTAGTTAAGAGGAATGATAAATTAAATGAACTATAATTTTACAATGTTTAACTGAAACAAATAAACATTTGATTTGTAACTGTAGTGTTTCACATGAACTAAACCACCAGAGAGTTTCTAATTAGACATTTGTCTAGAATATGTCATTACTCATGCAATTATTTGTGAGATAGTCATAATATAGAATTGAAAAACAGGGCAACAAAAGGTAGATTTATTAAACAAATTACTTATTTTATTTCCATATCCTAACTTATGGAATTAAATCACAACAATTTTTTTATGTATGTGGGCTATTTTCCCATATTGAACATCATTCAGTTACAATAAAGCTTCTTAACTTTAGTATAGAGTGGATAATGTAGAAGAGGTAAAAATTGATATACTCCCTTATTCATATCATTAATTTTTGGATGAAAAAGAAATTTATACAGATTTGCAAAGTCAGATTAAAATCTAAATACATATATAAATAGGTTCCATCCTATTTTGCTGAAACATCCTTATTTGTTCTTAATCTTCAGTTGTTGGTTGCATTTTTAGAAGGCTTCAGAAAATAAGGCTTTTATTATTGTGTGTGATATTTAGGTGATGAAACTAGGACTTGTGGTTATTCTGAATGTTAATGTTTAGCTTATGTGCAATGATACTATTGTTTTAATCTATGTGAAACTATTTGCTCCTTCTATTGCATATAAAGCTAGTACAGTACAGTCTATAATATGTTACAAATTTGTATTCCATAACATTTCAAATTGTTAATTTTTTTTTCTTCTTCTCAGTTCTCAAGATTGATATCAAGACACTTGCTGGTGCAGGTAATTTCTCTTATACGATTTTGTTACTTATCATGACCCATGATAGTGGTCTACAATAGGAATCGTAAGGAATTGCACAAAAACCCTAACAGAACTTTAGGGCAAAAAGCACCTTATACAGTAAACATTTAGTTCAAAAGATACTTTAAAACCTTTACTATTGACTGATAAGGCTGTACACATATAAAAATGCACAAAAAAAGCATGCATATTAGACTTACAAGGAAAAGGAAATTACTCAAAATGGCCTGTTTGTAATTCTTCTTCCTCCTATACTCCTGTCAGCCTACAAGAAAAAGGGTTTGATATATTGCACCCTAGCCTTTTTTAGAATACTAAATTAATGCAAAGGTTGTAGTGGTATTGAAAGTCGATTTGTTTCTTCTATATTTCATATAACCTAAAAACATCATAAAGATATTATCATTACCCTTGAAGTTTGCATTTTTACAAATATCTGTGTTCCTTTAAAAGATTTACTTACAGGGTGAAACAGGAATTACCAGCCAATAATAGATGAACATTAAATGACTTTAACATGTAGATACTCAATGCTTTGCACACTATACAGTAGTGTCTTTAAGGAGCCAACCCCTATATTATGTATGATGTGAAAATATAAAAAAATCAATACACATAATATTAAACTTTATTACACAAACTCATAGAATAATTACTTTACAAGACAAAGGTTTATTTAAAGTGGTGTTTTAGACATGTATGTTTTAGTTGAAAAGGCTAATTTTTCACTGTTAAAATTTCATACATGATTAGTGGGGGTTGTGTCTTAGTCTAGGCATATATTTGCTCATTGCTATGCATTATATATAGAGAATTTAGTTACATAAATGCTCACTATATTCTCAAACAAATATCCATGAAATCTCCAGCTGCAGCTTAACTCTCTTTCAGCATGGGTGTGGTCCCTGGGACCCATTTCTATAACCATTTTGTGCTTGTTATAGTTTTCATGTTATAACTTTTAAATTAGTAAGCATATGTTAACGAAATTTGGCAGATTATCAGTACAATGCTTTCATACACAAAATATTTATTTATTAATATTTATTAAATCTTAAGTATGTAAAGCAATGTTTTTGTCATGACTTTTGTTTCTTTTTGCATGTTGCCTATCTAACATTCAAAGTAATTTTCATTTTAAGATTAAAAATACTTTTGTGCATCAGAAAAGTTTCAGATTTCACATGCATAATCTTTATATTGTCCAGATAGTTATCAAGCGTTTCTTAAGAAAAAAACTTTATATTTTATCTGTTATTTTCAATAATGAATCTCTTTATGGGTTTGGTCGATTTTAACACGAAAACATAAATGTTTAGACTAAATAGCTTTACCCTTTCAATATGGGGTTGGTCAATGTGATACCTCGTAACCATTTTGTGCTTGTTATAGTTTCAATGCTATAACTTTTAAATTAGTAAGCGAATGTTAACGAAATTTGGAAGATTATCAGTAAACATTACAATGTTTTCATATGGAAAATATCAAATTTTTTTATCAAGTCATAAGGTTTATAAAGCAATGTTTCTCTCATGCCTTTTTTTCTTTTCACATCTTGCCTATCTATCATGCAAAGTAATGTTCATTTTAAGATTAACAATACATTTATGCATCAAAAATTTGGAAATTTCACATGTGAAATTTTTATAATGTCTGGATAGTTATCAAACATTTCTTAAGAAAAAACTTTTTATTTTATCTGTTATCTGGCTAACAATACAGAAGTTACAATGATGCAGCTCATGTGCACTCATGTTACCATATCCAATAACATAAAACTAACTTTTGGTCTGTACAAAGTAACTTGTCTTGGCTGTGTTTTAGTCAACTAGTATTTTGTAAAATACAGTCACATTTCAATTATTATACATTATTTATGTATATAGATTATTGTTATTTTGAAATAAGTTCTTAAACATATTTTCCCTAAAACATAGAACAGTAAATAAAGAAGTAAAGCAAAGAATTATCACTTCTAGTTACAACCTTTGTACTCGGTTGCTGCTTGACGTAGGTTGCTAAGCCTTTAAAAAGTTTGCACGCGGAGGATATGAAACAAAATATTTTTTTAAAGTTTTATATATACATCTGAACAACTAAAAAATCATAAATTATTACATCAATACTATAGAATTCTACTATAATTTATCAAGCTTAGTAACTAAAATGTATTTTACTCTTAAAAAAATATGAAATTTTGAGGAGACTAAAGATACAACCTACCTCATTGAAATCTTGGTTCAAAAGAAAGAAATGACGCTAGCCACATTAGAAAGACTGAGAAAATCACTAGGGGACATTCTGCACTTCCAGTTGGTTATCTATGTCATATATAGAAGTAAGTGTATATAAGGGAACATTTTCAAAAATGGAAAGAGGTGGGTGGGATGCCACTGTGTTTGATTTATTACATGAGCAATATCTTAGCAAATTTAAAAGATAAGAGGCTCTTATTTTATATTATAGCTTGTTAATATCGGTAATTTGAGTTTCTAATTCGTTTGAAACTATAGACTTAGTATTTTGACTTCAGAAACATTTAATTTGAACCAGTGCTGCATTTAACATACCACATTACACACAAAAATCGATGTTTAACTGTGTTTTTTATATTTACTTTTAAATTAAAAAATTGAGTAAGGTATAATACTAAAATATGAATTATAATCTACAGTTTATTACCAAACTTATCAACATAAATTTATGAAATAGTAGTTCAATAAAATTTTGAATGAGAGTCAACAAACGTGATGACATGGCCTTTCAACCATGATCCGTCAGGAAAAGGTTAACATTTTACATCTCGAGCTAATGAGACCAAATAGTCAGTAGCTAGAGTAAATCAATATGAAGTTTATCAGCTAGCCACTAGCTATCTTTATTATCATTACAATGTACAAGATTATATACCATATCAAGTAATCCTTTTCCCATAGTTTGGCATAAAAAAACCAGCAAACATGATAAATAAAAAAGATGGAAATTTAAAAACCTGCAAAAAGGAATAACAAAAAAGTAAGGAAATAAGGCTGGATATGTTGTAGACATTATTTACTCAAACTACAAATCCCTATTTTGACTCTGCCAAATATAATTCTAGGTAACAGCATGGAGCCAAAATAGGAGTTTTTCGTGTGAGTAAATAATGTCTACAGTATCTTCAGCCCTGTTTACTTACTTTATTTATGATCTGTATTTACAGGGTTTTTAACTTCCCAATTTTTTATTTATTTTATATAAATGTATATTTATTTTATATAAATGTATATTTATTTTCTGATAAGGTACTTTACTTCTGCTCACATACATAGCTATTCTCATTCAATGCTGCCCTCTATTTGCTAAAATGTTTTCGCTTGTCACAAGCCTTTCACTCCCATGGATTAACTGATTTTCACATTTCACAAATTATCATGCAACAAACCTTCACCAATAGTGCTACATACCCACATGGCTCCTTCTATGCTATTCTATCTATCACTTCTCATTTGACTGTGCTTGTGTTCAAATTTTTAGATTGTGCTCTCTTCAATTTTTTTTTTTTTTCGTATCTTCGTATCATTTTTTTCTCTCAACAATAGTGATATCTGTAACTTATTCTGAAGTGGAATTATTTTATATTTCTACCCAGTTATGGAACTTAATACTTCATTGGAAATGTTTTTTTCTACTTTTTATTTCTTTCCACCAACATGGGTATTTTAGTTTCCCCATTTTTCTTGTATGCTCAGTGCCGATTGGAGTTCTGGATTGATTGGTCCCACCTCAATCACTTCTTGGTTCTTCCTTATTTTGATATATAGTCTTTGATCACAATTTGGTGGGCAACTTCTGCAGGACTGAGAATGTCCATGGCACACATTATTTTTCATTTTTGGGGACTCAATCTTTGTTTTTTTTACATTTGATTCTGTACCAGTTTTATGCCTAGCCCTTCGGATATGTGTCAGTTCCATATGCCTTTTGTTAGATGGTCTGCATTTTACCCAACTTCATTATTTTGGCAGATTTTACTAACACCACTACTTTGACATTTGGCTTCGGTTAGCTCCTTCTGAATAGGGGTGGTCATAACATACTCATCTGCTTCTTACACAAGCAGCTTGAGTGGTTGGATTTTCTAGTTGGATATGTTCTTTCTGTTATCTACCCAACAATCGTCTATTTGGAGAGTGTCTTTGTAAATATCCACCTCCATCAGGACCATCCATTCTCTTCCTCGAATGTACTTGATGGAGCTTTTTGTTATTCAATCCATTACAGTTAACTATGTTACTGCTAGTGAGGTTCTTACACAATTGGGGAGATGTGGGTTTTATTGAAGCATTTCTCCCTTTGGGCCTGGCATATTTGCAATCTTTTCAGGAGACCCTGCATGACCCATGGTCTCTTGCTAGGGTTCCTTTGGATTCTCTCATAACTTCCTCCTTCCCTTTTTGACTATATATGTGTTGTTGGTTGAAGATATCCTTCTCATCGTATGCTTTACTGCTTTCTTCTCAATGTCCAGATTTGTTTTTCTTCCCTGATGTTCATCTCCAAAGTAGGGAGGCCTGGGTCGATCAGCAGGAGACTTCAGGACAATGGTCTATGGCCGAAATGTCTTACCATGTTAGCCCTCTGGTACTTACGGCAGTTCAACATGCTTTAGTTCACTTTCTTCCTCTTGTCTGGATTTGACTAATCATATTTCGTTCTGACTATTTGACAGTGGGAGCTTATATCACTCACCAATAGGTACTTATTCTTGTTTCCATTTTGGTAGACAGTGGATCTCCCTTTTTAAACCCATGTACCTGACATGTGTCTCCTGGCATGTTGTGTTCTAGGTGCTTTTGTTTTCATTGCCAATTGTCTTTCAATTTCTGACACACTTTCTACCATGGAGTGGCCTCTCGATCCTAACATTTTCAGTGTCTCTGCCTCCTGTGGGGTACTCCTTCATAGGAGGCATTTGACTCCTTTCTTGATTCCAAGTT